ATGTGTACAACCTATGCATTTATCTGGAATCCATATTTTTATCAGGTTTTTTTCATAGAACAAAACTATCCTTCCTGTTAATTTTATATTAACTATGAAATTTTGTTTTCCCCTTTCATATTTCAGTCATGCTTTCATCCCCAAAGAATATATTAAAATTCGGAATTTATTATAGAGCACACTCATTTTAAACACACGTGTGATAGCAGGTGTAGCTTAAGAGTTCGAATCCTCCAGTCCCAAGTTCAAGAAAAAAAAAAACGTATTAAAACATATTTAAACAAGCTGTCTCTGATTCTAGGGTTTCTCTCTCCAATTGATCTATTCTATGGATCTATGCCATCATATCAAGATTTAAAAGAAATGAAACAAAAAAAAAAAGAAATAAAAAGATAAAAGAAGAAATTAGTAGCTCCCTTTAGGGTTGAGCACTCAACCATACATTTCAATCAGCAAATTTTCAATTGATAAGCCTATACATATAACAATCAGAATAGTATGCACATACATACAAACATGACCTAACCTTAATTTCTACACACTAATCCATCTTTTCTAATGTTCCTCCTTAAGTTACACTCTAAAAAAGAAAAAATAAAAATAAAACAAAAAAGAGCATGCATCTTAACTTACTTTCCAATACCACCCCTGAAGATTTTCAAATCATGAGTTTTAAAAACCGTGTGATATTATCAACTTAGCAATAAGAGACTTCTGTCTAGAGTAAAAGATTCATGCGTTTAGCTTTCACAATACCTTTTAAATTTATGACAGTATGGAAAGTGCCACATTTCAACTAGTAATATATTTTCAAGAAAAAAGGGTTCAATATTCATACAATGCTTTAGTCAAATGCCCCAAAATCAGTATAATATATGTAAGCTCAAACTAGATGGGTGAACATCAAAATAACAAGGTGGTAGGAGAGTATTTTTCGGGTTGGAAAGCAAGTCTCACTTTTTGTCCTGATTGTTCTCCAATTCCCTTCTGAGCTGCAGAGAGAAATCATCATTAACATCATCATCCCAATCATCTTCCCATTGTTGGGTCACTTCCTTTCGTTCCTCCTTATCCTCCCATTCTGTCATTGTTGTGAAAACATGAGAGAATGAATTAGTTTGTTTTAAGGACTACTATAATAGAATCATGATTCATTGATTTATATAGGTGGTGACCATGCATGTATAGCTCATAATCAAACAAATTACCTGACCGAACGTTTTAGGACCCACCAAGAGGAAAACAATCAAAAGTAAGAATCTTCAACTACAGAGACAATGGGTTTTTATCACTTGCTTTTTTTGAACACAGCAGCAAACAACTCTGAATTGGGTGACTAATGCAGAGAATACATTGTAATGAAAATATGGCCTCGTTCGCCTCGCGAATTTGAGTTTTCAATTCGAGCTGAGATGTGACATTTTTAGAGAGCTTTTAACAGTAACAGAAAAAGTAAAAAAAGTTAGATGTGACATTTTCTGAAAGTTTTTAATTGTAAAAATCTAAAACTGAAAACTCAATTCGGTGAAATGAACGAGACTCTTGTGATTGGACTCTTTCCTCCCTAAGTTTTTTTCCCTTTTTTTTTTTTTTTTTTTTTTACAATTTGGTCACTACGTTTGAAAATGGTAGCAATCAACCCCCTTAAACTAAGGTCTCGTTCTTTTTGCGGTTCGAATTACAACTCAAATTTTAACTATAACGTTTTTCTCACAAAAATTTAAATTGAACTTTTATATTAGTCATTTCCCTCACATAAATTCACTTTTCAACTTGAACCCGCGAAAAAAATAGACCCTTAAGAATTTAAGAGGTAGAAAAATAGACGTGCTAAAATGCCAAAATTATTCCGTCCAAAACTTTAACCCCCATTAACACTTGGGACTAATTGCTTTAGTTTTCTTAATTTAAAGACCAAATTAATAAGAAAAAAATTTCAAGAGCCTAAGTGCCAAAAAAAATAAAAAACCTTCCAATTTCCATCAAATGGTGAACCAATTTCCTAATTCCAATCTGAGACCATCATCTCCTAGCCTAATTGTTCAAAAAAGCAAGTAATTTCACAGTACCAATTTCCTAAAAAAAACACAAAAATCGCAATCTTAACCGTAAATGGATTAATAATTTACTAAAAATCAAACTAGGTTTAACTTTGTATTTATGAATCAATAAGCAAGGATTTGAGACAAAAAGAAAAAAAAGTAAATTAACAAGAAAGATTACAAACCTTCATTGATTTCAACTCTTCGAACTCGTCATCGTCTTCAAAGAGGTCGATTTTCGCCTCTTCAGTAGCTGCCTTGGGCTCTGTGGCCATGTCTACATCTCAAATCAATGCCGGATTTCAAAAATACCCAAATCAAATATTTGAACAAAAACGAAAAAGAAAAAAGTTTGAATCAGAAGATGGTTCAGAAAGAAAACAAACGATTAAAGTTATTATTGTTGAAATTTCGAAAATTTCAGATCCAAATCAGAGAAAAGGAGGAGAAAGTAAAACCCCTAAAACTTACCGAAGTAAGGTGAAAGACTGAGGGCTCGATTGGTTTTAACTGTGTGATTCTTTGTCATTTAAAATTTAAATTTTTTTGAGAAAAAGAATTAAAAGTATGAGTTTAAACACATGAAATAAATAAACTTTAAAATTAGAGTGATAAAAAATAGAGGTGTAAGTTTGGACCATCTAGTTTGAGTCTAACGGCTCAAAGAGATCCCAACCTAGTCTTAAGCTCAAAAAATTTAGGGTCGGTTTGGCCAGTCTAAAATTTTATAAGATATTTTTAAAAAAATTTAAAAATATAATGTTTGAGTCGGTCTGACCCGACTCTAAATGAGAGAGAGTCAGCTCAATCCAGTCCTAAACCTAAAAATTTAAAAATGGGTTTGGGTCAACAGTAGCGCGTTTTAGTTCGGCCCGTTTTACCTGGCCCAAACTTGTAACTTTATCGAAAAGGAATTTCTATAGAGAGGATTTGAGGGTTTTGTGTCTCACAGTCGTGTTATGAGTTGAGAAATTTTCAAATAAGAACCATGATTTTATCAAAATAACGTAAATATCCTTTTTTTTAATCACATAAATGCCTTCAAACTTGTATTTTATTTCAGTTTTTGCCTTCCTTTTTTTTCCTTCAGTTTTTGCCTTCCTTTTTTTTTTTCCTTCAGTTTTTGCCATCTTAATCTTTTATCTTTTTGCATTTATATTTTTTACCCTAAAATTTTGTTTCTTCTCATTTTTCTATCTTCTATTTCTCTTCCTCTCTAATATCTTATATATTTCAAATGAGTTTCGCCGACACGGTGCTTCCAAAATCGTGCGAACGTTTCACGCTTTGTTTTTTTTTCCTTCCTCCTTTTTTTTTATTTGTTTTTTTTTTTTTTTTTATCCCCCCCTCCCCCGCCACTCTTAATTTCCTATTTTAAATTAGGGATAGCTCCCTAATCTTTTAAGATATTTCTTAATAGATAGAGATTACAATCAATCTACATGACTTTTGTTTTTTGAAATTCATATATTTAAATTATAGATTGACTTTTGGAGCAAATCTCGCATATATCTTATCTTCTTATATCCTCGACTCTGTAAGGGCATGGAGACGCCTCTTTGTCATAAGCGTCCCATACAGCCTCGTCCTCTTGATCACTTTTTAGAGTCAGGTGAAGCCTCGACTCCATGCGGTTCGTGACGTGGCACCAGGGCCAAGATGTCATCCACCTTAAAGGGGCTTCATTAATTGGGCTTTATAGCCTTTGGGCAATTTTATTGGGTCTCAATTTTAGCCCCGCAACATTTGCCCCTCAAGTCGAGGTATTTCTCTAGATTGTCTCGTGCTTTGACTAGAAATGTTCTCCATTTTGACCTCATACTCAGAGTTTGCCTGCTTACAAAGTGTTGTAGCTTTAGGCAATTCTACATACATTTTATTTGATGTGATTTTAACCCGAACTACTCCAACCCCTTTAACTTAAGGGACTTTCATTTTTTTGAGAAGAACTTAATGGTCCTTAGCTCTTGTGGTTTTCCTACTTATTTAATGTTTGTAACATTCTGTTTTGATTGTGCGCTATGTAGATCTCTTTTACACTTTCCCGTTGTTTCGTATTTTATTGTCGTTTTATGTTTCTCGCTCTGCGTCTTTTTGTCATATGCTTCCTTTTTGAGGGGTTGTTTTTGGGAGAACGAGAAAAATAAACCAAAGTGGGATAGGAATCAAAATTAATAGGCCAAGATTTAAAACTAGTTAGTAAATAATCTATTAGAGTGTAAATCCATATTTATACCCACATAAAATTCCTAAAATACCCCAATCTTATTTTCTCCCTTCTCTTCCAATACAACCCAACACCCAATTTTGTCCTCTCCCCCTCCTCTCTCTCTGTCCTTAGAACTGCTTCGACAACAAGTTGTCATCACGTTGAGAAGCTGACAACGACAAAAATCGGTGGGAAACTCGGACGGCGATCGCAGGCATCATCCTACTCTCCTCTTCTGCTCACTCTCTAGGAACACTGGCGCCAACAAATCTTGAATCGTGAGATCTCACTTCCGGCGCCGCAACAAGTTCCGTTTGAGATTCCAGTGACTTCTTCTTCCTTATCGTTGTCGTGGTTCCATATCCAGCAACGCTGCCGTGAGGTCCTCCATCAAAGATGAGAGATGGAGGAGATGAATAGAGAGATAAAGTAGAGATAGAGCGCGAAATAGAAGGAGAAAAGAAAAATAATTTGAGAAAAAGTTAAAAAAATCCTATAACTAAGGATCAAATTAGAAAACAAAATATTAGAAGTTGGAAAAGGCCTATCCATTTGTAATCTTGGGTAAACAGGCTAGTACTTCCACAGGTTCTAAAAAGTAGGCCTATTTACTACAATTTCTCTTTTTCTCTTTTTCTTTTTTTAATTAATTTGGGCCATTAAACGGGCTCAATTGCTAAGTGTCTTTGTATTTGGGCCCAGGAGAGACCCAAGCGGAACCCAGATAGACCAGTCTAGTACATAAGTTCAGTCCATAAGAAGGTGGCAAAAACCCTACCCTAAGCGTCAGCCGAAAGTTGTAGCATCAGAAGCAGAGCAGAGGCCGCAGCTAAATCTCCTTTCCTTTCGGTCAAGTCTCCACTAGGGTTCGGAGAAGCTCACGAAAACTCAAAAATGGCGTACGCTGCGATGAAGCCTACGAAGCCCGGCCTGGAGGAACCTCAGGAGCAGATCCACAAGATCAGGATCACTCTCTCTTCCAAAAATGTCAAGAACCTCGAGAAAGGTCTCTTTTTTCCTTGTCAATTTTGGCTGCTTTTATCTTATCGATTCATTCAATTTTTACGATTCGACGTAATTTTCCAATTATTCACACGCTTTTTTTAGATTAGATGCAGATTGGATCTGTCCCTGGGCTTTTGAAATTTTGGATGAGTATTAAACGAACGGCATAAGAAAAATGAAAAATTTGTCTGTAGGTTTCATTTTCTTGTTATCTGTTTGGAATATTTTCGTTTTCTGTCCCAAGTTTTTAGTATAATACATACATCTCTTCATTCATCATGGAATCTATTTGTTTGATGCCCTGTTTAATGATGTTTATGTTTGACTTGACTGACGACAGTGTGTACTGATTTGGTTCGCGGTGCGAAAGACAAAAGATTAAGGGTTAAGGGACCTGTGAGGATGCCCACCAAAGTTTTGCACATCACCACCAGGAAATCTCCTTGTGGTGAAGGTATATTTCTTTTCATTGTTTTTCTGCTTTCTTTTCTTTATTATTCATTTCTTCGCCCATAAAGTTGTATAAGCCTAATTTCTTTCGAGTCACGTGCTACGTATCTTGTTTTTTACTTGTATTGAATTTTGGATGTGGAATCTAGTTGTGATATGACACCTTGAAGGTCTTTTGATTGAAACAAGCTGCACCATAATTTAGGTTGCTGAATACCCAAGTTGTGCATTCTTTACAGTTACACCACTTTTCTGGAGTTATTCAACCTCATCTTATTGGTTTGCAGGTACTAACACATGGGACAGATTCGAGCTCCGAGTTCACAAGCGAGTTATTGACCTCTTCAGCTCCCCCGATGTGGTTAAGCAGATCACTTCCATTACAATTGAGCCGGGTGTGGAGGTCGAAGTTACTATTGCAGATTCGTAAATCTTCCCCATTTTTACGCCTTGCCTTGTTCAACTATTGTTTAGTTGATGATAATGTTTCCCCTCTATGTTCTACTGTTGGCATAGTGTTAGCTAAGGATAGCCTTTTCCGTTTTCATTTTGTGCGGGTAAACTATGTTGTAGTAAGGAATTTTTGTTTTGCAGCTGTCTTAATTTCAAAATTTTCGATGCTGTTATTAAATATAGCATTTTGATTAATTGAATAGGTTTCATTCTATAACCTGCTCGGAATCCATGATTATTACCTCTGATGCCCTCTTGTTAAACTCGATTCCTACCCGTAATCCCGACTGCTTATGTAGCCTGCAGCCTTGTAGTGCCACAATTGATGAGTGTTTAGTTGCATAGTTGATCTATTGATGAACTTCGATTCCTTTGTGTTCACTTTTTTACTGACTCCTTCCATTTCCATAATCTATGGTCACCCTCGTGCGAGGATGGAAAAGAGAGAGAGATTTCTTTATGGGCATGCCTGCAAAATATGGCCTCAAAAAATGACAAAAAAAAAAATAAAAGGCTGTCAAAACGCCCCCGGCCCGCGTAGTGGGGCGCCCAGGGGCCGGGATGGGTAAAAAATTTACTTTTTTATTTATGGGTTGCATTCTAAAATTAATATATGATTTTTATGAATTAATGTAACAAGCGGCAATATTTTTTTGATGAATGTTTTATTTTTTATGATTTTCTTTATTTTTCATCTTTGAAAAAAAAAAAAAACGACGTAAAAAAATTATGAAATTTTACAGAAATGATTTTTACATTTTTCTGGGCATGTTTACATAAAATGGCTTCAAAAAATGACCAAAAAAGATAAACGTTGTCAAAAAACTCTCAACCCACGTAGTGTGGTGCTCAGGGGTTGGGATGAGTCAAAAATTTACATTTTTAATTATGAGTTGCATTCCAAAATTAATATATTATTTTTATGAATTAATACAATAAGTAGCACTATTTTTTGATGAATATTATATTTTTTATGATTTTCTTTATTTTTCGTCTTTGAAAAATTAAATAAAATAAAAACGAATTCAAAAACTTCTAAAATTTTATAGACACGATCTTTACATTTTTTTTTTTTGAGAATTTCTGTCAAAAATGTTCTAAAAAAATGACAAGAAAAAGTAAAAGGCTGTTAAAAAGCCCGCAACCCGCGTAGTGGAGCTCCTCGGGGCTGAGATGGGTGAAAAATTTACATTTTTATTTATGTTTTGCATTCTGAAATTAATAGATGATTTTTAAGAATTAATACAACAAGCGGTGCCATTTTTTGATAAATATTCTATTTTTTATGATTTTCTTTATTTTTCATCTTTGCAAAATAAAATAAAATAAAAACGACGTCAAAATGTTATAAAATATTGCAAACACGATCCTTACATACCCCTGGGAGACCCCTGGGCCACACCTGGAGCACCCCTGGGACACTCTTGGCCCGCGTAGTGGGGCGCCCATGGGCTGAAATGTGTCAAAAATTTACATTTTTACTTATGTTTTACATTTTAAAATTAATATACGATTTTTAGGAATTAATACAACAAGCGATACCATTTTTTGATGAATATTCAAATTTTTATGATTTTCTTTATTTTTTGTTTTGGAAAAATAAAATAAAATAAAAACAACGTCAAAAAACTATGAAATTTGCAGACACGATCCATACATTTTTTGGGCATGGAAGCAAAAAATGGCCTCAAAAAATGACAAAAAAAGTAAAACGCTTTCAAAAAGCCCCCGGCCCGCGTAGTGGGGCGCTCAGGGGCCGAGATGGGTCAAAATTTATATTTTTATTTATGTTTTGCATTCGAAAAATAATATATGATTTTTAAGAATTAATGTAATAAGCGGCTTCATTGTTTGATGAATATTCTATTTTTTATGATTTTCTTTATTTTTCATCTTTGAAAAATAAAAAAAATAAAAACGACGTCAAAAAATTATGAAAGTTTGTAGACATGATCCTTACATTCTTTTGAGGATGCCTGTAAAAAATGGTCTAAAAAAATAACAAGAAAAAGTAAAAAGCTGTCAAAAAGCCCCCGACCCGCGTAATGTGGCGCCCATGGGCCAGGATGGGTAAAAAATTTACATTTTTATGTATGTTTAGAATTCTAAAATTAGCATATGATTTTTAGGAATTAATGCAAAGAGCAGCACCCTTTTTTAATGAATATTCTATTTTTTATGATTTTCTTTATTTTTTGTCTTTGAAAAATAATATAAAATAAAAACGACGTCCAAAAATTATGAAATTTTACAGACACGATCCTTACATTTTTCTCGGCATGTCTGCAAAAAATGGCCTAAAAAAGGCAGGAAAAAGTAAAAGCCTGTTAAAAAACCCCCGACCCGCATAGCGGGGAGCCCAGGGGCCGGGATGAGTCAAAAATTTTCATTTTTATTTATGTTTTACATTCTAAAATTAATATATGATTTTTAGGAAATAATGCAACAAGCGACACCATTTTTTGATGAATATTCTATTTTTTATGATATTCTTTAGTTTTCATCATTGAAAAATAAAATAAAATAAAAATGACGTCAAAAAATTATGAAATTTTACAGATACAATCCCTAAATTTTTCTGGGTATGTCTCGAAAAAATGGCCTCAAAAAATGACAAGAAAAAGTAAAAGGCTGTCAAAAAGCCTACGGCCTGCGTAGTGGAGCCCTAGTGGTTGAGATGGAGCAAAAATTTTCCTTTTTAATTATGGGTTGCATTCTAAAATTAGTATATGATTTTTATGAATTAATGCAACAAGCGGCACTTTTTGTTTTTATGAATATCTTATTTTTTATGATTTTCTTTATTTTTCGTATTTGAAAAATAAAATAATATAAAAACGACGTCAAAAAAAAATTATGAAATTTTACAGAAACGATCCCTTCATTTTTCTGGGCAGGCCTACAGAAAATGGCCTCAAAAAATGGCAAAAAAAGGAAAACGCTATAAAAAAGCCCCCAACCCGTGTAGTGGGGCGCCCGAGGGTGAGGATGCGTCAAAAATTTATATTTTTATTTATGGGTTGCTTTTTAAAATTAATATATGATTTCAATGAATTAATGCAACAAACGACACAATTTTTTGATGAATATTCTATTTTTTATGATTTTCTTTATTTTTCATCTTTGAAAAAGAAAATAAAGTAAAAACGACGTCAAAAAATTATGAAATTTTGCAGAAACGATCCGTTCATTTTTCTGGGCACGCCTACAAAAAGTGACCACAAAAAATGACAAAAAAAAAGAAAAACGCTGTCAAAAAGCAGAGGCATTTGTGACTATCATCCATCTATTTATTGTCCTCAAGAGCTTTCAACTGCATATCTTCTTGTTATTTTCTTTTCTGTTCAGGCTTCTGTAGCATATCTCTTGTGGTTTGTCAGGAAATTTTGCTTACATTTTACTCCAGCGTCTAATGATGTAATGGGCCCATATCAATGAATCAAATAAACATGAATTTGATAAACTAATGCCAGATGAATGTAAAATAATCTTTTCGTACATTTAAGTAGAGAAACACATTAAAAGATAAGAAACAAAAAGGAGGTGAAGGCTTCTGCTGGAATCTCAGTACATGTAAGGGAATCGTAATCTTTGGTTTAGGCAAATCCTTCCATGGTTGGTAAATTTACCTTTTAATTGGCTTATAAACCCGCGTAGTGGGGCGCCCGGGGGCCGGGATGGGTAAAAAATTTACATTTTTATTTATGGGTTGCATTCTAAAATTAATATATGATTTTTATGAATTAATGCAACAAGCGGCACCATTTTGTTTTGGTTGATATTCTATTTTTAATGATTTTCTTTATTTTTCGTCTTTGAAAAGTAAAATAAAATAAAAACGACGTCCAAAAACTATGAAAGTTTGCAGACACGATCCGTACATTTTTCTCAGAATGCCTGCAAAAAATGGCCCCAGAAAAACACAAGAAAAAGTGAAAGGCTGTCAAAAAGCCCCCGGCCCGCTTAGTGGGGCACCAAGGGGCCGGGATGTGTCAATAATTTACATTTTTATTTATGTTTTGTATTCTAAAATTAATATATGATTTTTCAGAAATAATGCAACAAGCGGCACCATTTTTTGATGAATATTCTATTTTTTAGGATTTTCTTTAATTTTTGTCATTGAAAAATAAAATAATATAAAAATGACGTCAAAAAACATATGAAATTTTGCAGACACGATGCCTATATTTTTCTGGGCATGGCTTCAAAAAATGGCCTCAAAAAATGAGAAGAAAAAGTAAACGGTTGTGTAATGGGGTCCCCAGGGGCCGGGATGGGTAAAAAATTTTCATTTTTATTTATGGGGTGCATTCTAAAATTAGTATATGATTTTTATGAATTCATGCAACAAGTGGCACCATTTTTTTATTTATGAATATCCTATTTTTTATGATTTTCTTTATTTTTCGTATTTAAAAAATAAAATAAAATAAAAACGACGTAAAAAAATTATGAAATTTTACAGAAATGATACCTTCATTTTTCTGGGCATGCCTACAAAAAGTGGCCTAAAAAAGACAAAAAAAAAAGAAAAACGCTGTAAAAAAGCCCCCAACCTGCGTAGTGGGGCGCTCGGGGTCGGGATGGGTAAAAAATTTACATTTTTATTTATGGGTTGGATTCAAAAATTAATAAATGGCTTTTATAAATTAATACAATAAGCAACACCATTTTTTTGATGAATACTCTATTTTTTATGATTTTCTTTATTTTTTACCTTTGAAAAATTAAATAAAATAAAAACAAAGTCAAAAAATTATGAAATTTTGCAGAAACGATCATTTCATTTTTTTGGGCAAGCCTATAAAAAATGGCCTCAAAAAATGACAAAAAATAGAAAACGCTATCAAAAAGCCCCCAACCCGCGTAATGGGGCGCCCGGGGGCCGGGATGGGTCAAAAATTTATTTTGTTATTTATGGGTTGCATTCTAAAACTAATATATGATTTTTATGAATTATTAATGCAATAAGCGGCGCCATTTTTTTGATGAATATTCTATTTTTTATGATTTTCTTTATTTTTCATCTTTAAGAAAGAAAATAAAGTAAAAACGACATGAAAAAATTATGAAATTTTATAGAAACGATCCACTCATTTTTCTGGGAATGCCTACAAAAAATGGCCTGAAAAAATGACAAAAAAAAGAAAAACGCTATAAAAAAGCCCCTAACCCTCGTAGTGGGACGCCCGGGGGCCGGGATGGGTCA